AAACCAACCGACCAGAGAACAAACTAACCAATCAAACAAACAACCAGGGAACAAACCGACCAACCAACTTACTAGGGAACAATCCAACCAGAGAACAAACCAACTAATCAACCAACCAACTAAGGGAACAAACCAACCGACCAGAGAACAAACTAACCAATCAAACAAACAACCAGGGAACAAACCAACCAACCAACTTACTAGGGAACAATCCAACTAGAGAACAAACCAACTAATCAACCAACCAACTAAGGGAACAAACCAACCGACCAGAGAACAAACTAACCAATCAAACAAACAACCAGGGAACAAACCGACCAACCAACTTACTAGGGAACAATCCAACCAGAGAAAAAAACAACAACCAACTAATCAACCAGGGAACAAACCAACCAATCAGAGAACAAACCAACCAACCAAGCAAGATACTAAAATACTATTCATAGAAGATATTCTTTGTTGGTTGCACGGTTGGGTAGTATTGCAACCATCCAACAAACCAATCAATAAAGTTGGTTTATGAAGTTTACGTAACTAAAGTCAACCAGCACATTGATCAACTATGTCCGGAAGTCAATTGAAGTTTACATCTTTAGCCACTAACAAAACAATTATAACACATTTAAAGACAAATTTATCCCTCCTTAGTAAAGTTGAACTCTATATTCTTTGTTTTGGTTAAAGGGAAGCTTTAAATGTGTTTTATGCCATTTAAATCATCTACTCACCTTTGATTGTGGCTTCTATAGGCTACCGAACTTAACTGATAGACACTACGACTGCTGATAATGGCAGCTGTGCAGCAATGTTTACAGTTTTACTGGCATGGCTCAATGTGCAGAACACTCTTATTAGTCAGTGGTTGTAGGAGCTGCCAGTTGTCTTTTGCTGTGACAGTTTTAAATTACTTTTAGAGTAATTTTAAGACCAATCTCAGAAATGATGACTTTATGAAATAAGAGGAGATTAACTGAGTCTTTTCTCTTAGCAATGAAACAGCACACTGCAATCTGCTGAACAGTTTCATCACTGCTTCCTGATAAATGTGGCTGCACAGACAGGTGCCTTACCCAGAAAGTACTTCCCTATTCTCTCATTGGCTGATGTCTGACTCCATCATGCTCCTCTGACCAATCATAATGTCCCTGTTCCATATGTCCCGCCCACCAGAGTCTCACTGCTGTGCGTTTCCCTCTCCTGCATTTTAGGCAGACTCTCAGCCTGTCTGTCTGGGCTCCTGTGGTTCGGTGTGTGCTGCAACAGGAAGGTGTGTGCATGAATGTGTGTGAGTGTGAGAAGGTTGAAAGTAAGGCTGCAAAGGACTGGCCAGGTGCTCCTCTCATTGAAAGTGAAATTTCTGATCATTGAATAGTAGAGGAGGAGGATTACGAAGATGCTTGGTGTCCCTCAGAGTCTGCGAGCTCAGGTCAGTGATGCCGCCGGCATGGAGCAGACTTTAATCAGCTCTCATGCTTCTGCTGCTGTTTCTCCCACAAATGTAGGGTTCTGCACTGGTTTGGTTGTATAACGATTTATTGCCGATTGCAGGGGTTGTTTGTAGGTTTATTCTGCTTCACTACTGTTGCCAAACGGATTTGTTGGAGCAGCTGCCAAGAACTCCCTGCATGGTTTATTAGACTTTTGTCTCCAGTGGAATGTGTACAGGCTTGTGTTGGAGAAATGCAATTTATCACAGGGCAGTGCCTTTGTGTTTGTTGTTTGCCAACTTTGGCCTCCTAAAGCCAGTTTAATGTGCTTTCTTATTCCTGTTCTTTACAGTACGTCCTACTGTGGAACAGCCCTGATTCAACCCTTTCCTGGTTATATTCATCTTTCAAAAAGACAGATGATTCCTTTTGAACGTAGTCCTTTTATTCGCTATCAAGGCTTTTGTTGTTTAGAACTTTATTCATTTATTATTAACGTACATCTTAAAAACTTGTAAACTGTCGTTAAGCCATAGATTTACAGTAGATCCTTTCTGTTTACAGCCATCATCATCTGCAAGAACTCTTCAAAGAAACCCCTATAATAAGTAACTAATTTTGTTTTTTTCCCTTTGGGATCAGTTAAGTATATTTGAATAGAATTGAATGAAATTTCTTGGTAAAAAAAAATCTGACAATGGTCATTCATCCATGCGAGGTTTGTTGGATAACAATCAGCCTGTCAACCAATAGAAGCAATAGGTGACCGTATGCAAACCAATATACTAGCCGACTAGCAGAGCTTAAGAATATTTAGCTTATATATTCAGTTTAGTTTATTTCCATAGCGCCAATTCACAACATCTTCATGTCATCTCAAGGCGCTTTACAGTTGAACCAGATCATACAGTCAAACTGATTCAAAGTTCAAACCAGTAGATTGCATCGACTCATTGACTCGAAGGCAATCCCTCACACTAAGCATGCTAGTAGCAACAGTGGAGAGGAAAAACTCCCTTGTAACAGGAAGAAACCTCCAGCAGAGCCAGGCATATCATTGTTGTAGTATTATTATATATCATATGCAATTCTCTTCTTTAATATCACAACTGATAACAAGATAGTTGTTAATATGGGCCCAGTTTTATTCATTGAACTGATATAGATACGATAGAAAATTCCCATCAGCCAATACGGTGTTGGTATAAAACATGCAGCTATATTTTGCATACCTATGTTGTTGTTGTTGTTGTTGTTGTTGTTAATTGTGACCTTAGAGGAGTCATTACCTTGTATCTGACTTATACTTTTCTACTGAAATTGACTTTAAATTCATTTTTAGTCAATAAAGCTAATTTGGAACCCTTTTTATATGCATTTTTATTTATGGCTAGGGTATGGGCAAGGATTTGACTGGTTTGTATGCCTCTACAGGTGGATGTGGCGTTTGCAACATTAGCAGCTAGCCATGGTTCTTTTTCCATCATTTCCTGGTCTCTTACATAATAATACAAAAGTTACACATGCAGCAACAATTACCAACCGCTTGTGTGGAAGTCTCTGATTGGTAACTCCTCTGATGTTGACTTTGTGAAGGAGGAAAACCAACATTGAGGAGATCTTGTAGGATTTTCTGCTTTGAAAAAAAAAAGATCAAACAAAAAAATCCCATGCCACTTTAAGACTTTGGATCATCCAACAGGTTTTAATTAAAACACCAACACCAAATGTTTTAACAATGAAAAGACCGATTGCTGGGTGACGACCCCTTCAAGGTTCCCACACAGTGGGGCTGACTGTGCCTGTACTCTCTCTCTCTATCTGTGGACATTTGAGATTTCACAGCCCATTGCATCAGTTCCCTTCACCTCCTGCAGATTGTTTTCACATCACAACAGTTCAAAGGAAGGCTTTTTCTTTTAGAGCAGAACTTTTCCTCTGATCAGGTCCTTGTGTGTCACTATGATAATAAATATCCCAGGACCTTTACTGGTTGTTGATTTTCTTTCTTCGGACCCCGCTGATTTTTAGTTGGATACACCTGATTTAGACCAAACCTTCCCAGACCTATTGGCTTCTAAACTCACAAATTAGTATAAGAATGTACTTATGACCAAAACTATTTGTTTAAATAGAAGTATTTCTAAAACATCTTTTAACAAATGGTATAACAGTAGTACAAACAGCATCAACAACCAACGTATTTGATTTAGTCTCTAAGTGGTTTTTATTTTGGTAAAAACAGAAGTTATGTTCATCATGATCATTTTTGTGTTGAGCTTTATATCTATAAAGGACTCTGTACACCATGCTTGTTGATCCGTGACCCCAAGTGTGCACTTTAAGCTGGGCATATAGGGTGCGATTTCGTGCCCTATTTTGGCCGACTTTCGAGTCGTGCGAGAGTTTTTTGATCGGGCCGACTTTCAGCCTGATTGTGCGTCGTGTAGTGTACGGGGGTAACGAGGGGCAATCCGCCTCTCACGACCACCTCCTGATCAGCAATCGTGAGGTCGGGAGAAAATCAAATATGTTTGAAATTCAGTCGACCGTCGTGGGCAAATCGCTCAGTGCGCAAACAAGAGTTCTTCTTCTTCTTCCTCTCAGATGTAAACACAGAAACATGGTGGGGGTGCCAGTGAAATGGAGTTCTTTCTTTAAAATTGACGGACCATAGCAGCCACGTTTGTTCAGCCATGTCTTTGTCCAAATACGTCGTTGCCTTTTCTTTTTAGGGCTTTCAGCAACAAAGTTGCACAAATTGCCAAGGCAGTGTTTCACTCTAGCGAGCTTCATATTCATCTTCTACTTGTTTGGGTTCTGGATGAGTCCGAGTAGCGCCATCTCACTGTGGGGCTCAGTCCGACGGGGTTTTTAGATGTACAGTGTGAGCAGGTAGATCGCATCAGAGTGTCGTGCTGCACAGACATCATGAGCTGTGAACTCTGTATGAAGTAACCCTGTGGTACGAGCTGTTGCTGCGTGCAAAGATTGAAAAAAATCCCAATAACACCATTAAGTGTTTATTGATATCAAGTCATATTGTTATTGCGATATTACCCAATCTCAGCTTACTGCAGTCCTAGCATTCGATAATCAGACTGGTAACCATGTTGACTGTTTGACCACCAAACCCCCATAACAAGGGTAGTGGAAGTTAACTGCATGGCTATTAAAATGAGTCCAAATTTTTGTGCAATATTAACAAATGTGTGTTAATCCCAGTTTTAAGAATTATGGGGCAAAGAATCCAGCAAAGATTTGATATTTTCCCTTGTTGATTACTAATTTAGCTGAGGTCTTTTTGCTAATCCCCTTGTTGGAGCTAAGCTTTAACTTGTCTACCAGACTGTGCTCTCTTTGTTTTTTCCACTGATTTTACTAAGGAAATACAAACAAATAGTTTCCTTGAGACAAGCTGTTACTGACACAGAGTCTAAAGAACTGAAAATGTTGAGTTTCTGGCCTGATAGTGGGCGAAACTTCACCCAAAGCCCTTACTTCAAAGGCCTTTGATCAAAAACTGTTTGAAAGATCCAAAGAAAATCTGTCAGCTTTGAGAGAAAGTATGCAGAAATGGGGACTTCTGTGGGATTTGCACATCAGTGTTTTGTATTAAGGCGATTACATTTGAACTCTGCACTTTAAATGTTTTAAATTAGATGAAAGATCTCTAATCAGAAGGTGTTGAGGTGACATGTCAGTGGCATTAATTAGAGGCATTATTGACCCATAGATAAGCTGCGCAAACCTGCGCATACCTTAAGTGGAAGTGCGCAAAAAGCTGCTGTCATTGGTCGTTTGTATGCCTTTCCGGCTGTCTGTGTGGTCGTCCTTCTCGATTCGGTGCCGGGGGGCTCCATTTTTAAGAACTGAGGAACAACTACAATGGACAACTACGATGGAAGGTTAATCTAGGAGGTTCGCTCCATGAAGAGAACCTGTTCCTCTTCGATGTCTAGCAACTCCTGATCCATCTCCATGACTGTAATATCTCGCAGACACGACATTGTTGTTTTGAAGGATAAACACTCCACCAGCGCTGGCAAAGTTCTTGTGACCATCCACCAAATTCCTCGCGAGTTTTCAAATAGGCTTCCCCTTGCACTTTGGCGGGAAACTGCTGTGTGTCCCTAGAAATGCCAGACAAAAGGTGCAGAAGCATACCAGCAAAACCGGTTCACGACCAGAAGCAAGCGACATTTGATGTGTGCGATTGCTGAAGTATAATCTGCCCTTTAGAAGGCAGTACTTTCCTTCAAGACGGACAATGATTGTTTTCTACTTGCGGCGACTTTAGATCGCCAATGAAATGTAAAATAATAGCAAATATAGGTAATGATGTTTTAGGACTCCATAAGGGATTTGACCCTTAAGGCGGGTTCATTACAGTTTGTGCGAGTGGAGTTGCCATGCATTGATGTCATAAGAAGGGGCAGGGTCCAGAGCAGATCTGGTACCTACGACGGGCAAACACTGTGCAAATTTGCAATCGTTCCACGCAGCTACAGCTCAAACTGTACGACAAAACCGCAGGGTTTAAAAGTCCACAGCTCACGATGCATGTTCTCACACTGTGTGGCCCGAAGCTCTGATGCGAACTTACGACGGCCGACTGAATTTCAAACATGTTTGATTTTCTCCCAACCTTAATATTCCTGATCGGGAGGTGGTCCTTTATCCATTTCACTCACTTTCTCTTTTTCTATGACCTGAAACTCTTTCTTGATCAACCTGTCCTCTCCACATATCAATGTAAGCTTTAAAACATTCGAAGCATGTGTGTTTGGTGGCCATTAGCTTCCACTCTCAGCCTGACAAGTGATGCTCTGTGAGAGAGAGGGGGTAATAGTCCACTCTGTACCCAATTAATGTGAGTGCTCAGTGGCCCTGACATAAACCCAGCACCATGACTGTCTGCATCAATTATTTTAAACACCGTTAGTTTTAAAGTCAACTTTTTTCTCTTTATTGTCAAAGTTTCCTCTCAGGTTTCATC